AGTTTATACCTGAAACCTATGTTGAGGGATTTTAGGTTAAAAATATGTGAACTTATCAGTTAGAAGTGATCTTCCACGTGGGCAAGTTGTGTTTGTACTCAGTTTGTGTATTTCTCAGTGTGTATAGTTCAATTAATTAAAGTGAAAAATGCCTCGTAACGTTAGCAGAGAAACTCGCAGAATTTCCAAAGAACGTTTGGATCAAGGAAAGAAACGGAAGAACGTTTTTAATCCGAAAACCGTGGAATATGATGAGAGCAGTTTCAGCGCCTCAGCAAAAAAATTTAAAGCGCAAGAGGAAATATGTGTAACTCGCGATACGTCAGTTGAATATAGAATTTTAAATTTTATAACTGTGTTTACGGCTATTAGTGAGTATGTATTGTGTAAAACTTGCGGTGAGCCAGTAAAATTTGAAACAGCATCAGAACGTGGACTTGGTTTTAAAATTGTTATCTTATGTGATAAATGTAGTCCTCGTAGTGTAAACTCTTGTAACTTTGTCAAACACTCGTATGAAATAAATCGACGATTTATATTTGTGATAAGAACCCTTGGGTTAGGTTTGAAAGGTGCTACTCAATTTTGTGGGCTAATGGACATGCCAGCTTTTTTGCTCCAAACTTCATATGATATGATCGTTAAAAATATCCACGAATGTGTGTCAGTAGTCTATTACCACGTTCAAACGATCATTGGAAAAGTATTAAGTTCGTTTTAGAAACTATATCGGTGATGGTGACTCTAAAACTTATTCGGGGATTTTGAAGGCTGCTCCTTATGGTGAGACAGAAGTAACGAAGAAAGAATGTATTGGGCATGTTCAAAAAAGAATGGGCAAACGGCTAAGAGACATAGTAAATAATACAGTAGAAGAAATGAAAGATAAGAATGGAAAAAAAAAAGTTACTTGGTGGCAAAGGTAAATTGACTGGGAAAGTTATTGATAAATTAACTGTTTACTATGGTTTAGCGATTAGGAGACACTGTGATTCTGTTGACAATATGTATAAAGCCATTTGGGCATCTTATTTCCATAACTGCTCTACAGATAAAAACCCTCAGCATGATAATTGTCCTATAGGAAAAAACTCGTGGTGTTCATGGCAAGAAGCGCGAGCCTTGGGAACTTTGCCCAGCTATAAACATGATTATGAGGCCTTACCACCTGATGTTGCAACAGCTTTTTTTCCAATTTACGAAGATCTAAGTAACAAAAAATTATTGGAACGATGTGTTGGTGGTTTTAACCAGAACAATAATGAAATTTATAATCAGCTGATATGGAAAATAACTCCAAAAATTATTCCAGCTGGCTCTAAAATTGTGGAAATAGCTGCAAACATTGCAGCCGGGATCTTTAATGAAGGTAAAACATCTCTTCTTTATTATATGAGTGCTATGGGATTATCACTTGGACCCAATGCTCATTCCTACGTGAGTAAAGAGGACGCAGAGCGCATCTCAATTTCGGACGCAAAAGCGCAAGGGTCGACGCGCGAGGGGAGAATGGCTCGTAGACAACAACAACTAAACATTTTTGAGGCAAATGACGAAGCAGAGGGTTCCTCTTATGGTGCTGGAATAGATGACACGATGTAAGTTGAAAAAAAAAATTTTTAATTTAGTGTAAATCGTTCCCGAAACTTTAAACGCGTTTATCTCAAAACCGTGTTTTCAGAGTCGGTGGCCAAAATTTCTCCGAAACCGCTAAACCGATCGGTTTGAAATTTTCACACAACTTACTCAGATATATTTTTCAAGTAATGATCGAAGGATTAAGGTTTTGGACAATAATTTCGATTTTTTAAGCCCTTTTGAAGTAAAAAATTTTCATGAAAAACAGAATTTTTTTTTTTTGAACGGCCGCTATTTTGTCAAAAATCAAAATTTTGACTAGACCTTCGATTATTACTTGTATTTATTTATTACAAAACTAAATATTTTTGGTTTTTGATTTTCAGATAATTTGGACCAGAGATATCTTGGCCACCGCCAAGCACTTTTTTTTGGAGGTCACTCCGCAGATCATCTACAGGAGCTAGGGGATCCAATATTTTTTTAAATAAACCGCTGATTGTTAAAGTACATTAAATTCTGTTTAAGTACATTTTTTCCATTAATGTATAAAATAAAATGCCTCTTTGGAAAAAATTCACAAAAAAACGCGTTTTTTCTGCCTCGCAAGTGGATATAACCCCTTAATTCGGTTAGATAATTTATAGTTAATTTCAATAAGTCCTGGTTGGGGTTATAAGTGATAGAGAGTGAAATCGTCGGTGAATAGCTTCTGATACATGGTATGGTTTTCCCTCTACATCAGAAGTTTATTATAAAATTGGTTATTCGAATTTCGGAACATCGGTAAATAATTGGAGGTCACGTGGTCCTCGTACCCGTGAATTATGGTACGGTTTTCCCTCTGTTTCGCGGGTATTAATTAAGGAATTAGTTACGGAAATTGAGCAATAGAATTTATAGTGTGCGTGTGAGAGTGATTTTGTAAAATAAATAATTGGTAACCACGAATTATTAATTTTATTTATTTCCAGATAATTTCCTAATTCTCTCTATCCTGTAGATTATCTCTCATGTTCCTTACGGTTTCTAGGACACCGTTATAACAACCTGGTCGCGCCCTAAATTTAACATCTAATAATAATAATCTCATGGTATTGATAGTTATTATCTAATTAATAATTTAGGCTGCTATTGAACGGCGGGAATAAAAACCCCCGTTACAGGATATTGATCTTTGACTGAACAAACTCATTCAACTCACCGGTCAGCCTTTCGAGGCGTTCCAGCGCTTGTGATCGCTTTATTTCAGCGCTCGCTTCAATCGCTGCGTGTTGGGCGAGAAGCCCGTTTTCACTCATATTTATTTCGTTTGAATTACTCATACTTTTAAATTTACCAGCGCATCGTACGAAGAGGAGCGGGTTGTCATAGACTAGGAACGGGTGTACTCTCGGAGAAAGTACTCCTATCCCAGATCCCTGAGGACCAGTCGACACGTCATCCAAGGACAGCGAGTGTCAACCCATCCACTACGGGGAGACGCCCCTGGTAGCAGTTTTTCCTCTACCACAGGAGTTTCTCCTCTGCCGCAAGAGTTTCTCCTCTGCCGCAGGTGTGTGTGTGTGTGTGTGTAAACCTCTTGTAACTTCTGAACGGCTTGAGTGATTTGATCGCAGTTAGTGTCATTCGGAAGAGCTTCGTCAAACTTAGATTTCCTGTGAGTTGGAACCAATTTGGATCGGCAAATTTTGAGAAATTGCGAAAAAAAATAGTTGTTTTTTTTTTCATTTTTTCAAAATATCTTCCAATTGGCTGAACCGATCAACCTCAAAAACTAATCAGCTCTTACCCTTGAAAACCCGCATCGATCGCCACCAATTGCGTCAGAATCGGTTGATGTGTTCATGAGATATTGTTTCGATAAAAGTGTTTTTTTGTAATAACTTCGAAATGTTTCATTAGATCTATTTTCTTTGTTCCAAATTTTCTATAGAAATTGTTATAATAATCTAAAAAATTGCTAGATGTCTCTTAAATTCAGTAGCATTAAAAAAAATATTATATCTATACTTGTAATAGTTACAGAATATTTATTTTTTATTTTCTAATAAAAAGATTTTTAACCCTCGGAGTACACTAGGGGTCATTTTGACCCCAAAATTTTTTTATCCTAAAATATTTCTCTAGTTAGTCGAAATATTCGAGACATCCAGTATATATTTTTGAAGGTTAAAGCCCTCTCTAAACGTACACAAAGGGACAACTGCGCATCGTTTTGTTATGTCCACCTGCATTTTTTTCTTTAAATTTAAATCACCCGCGCACATGGAAGACTTCTCCATGCGCGAAAGCCACAATAAAATATAAGCTACGTGACTGTTGGTTGACTAGCGGGGACTTCTGCAATCTCAGCACCGCGAGTTTTTAAAAAGGCGATCAACAGCCAAATCCATGTCTTAGTTGGTTAATTCGACTTCCGCATTTAACTGACAGGCCCGTGCCTTGTAAAGTCCCTTGTCTTAATTTGCTCTGCACTTGAGACGAGTTCAGACGCGGTTTCAACCGCCAGGCCACGTATTAGTTTTAATATCTACGAGTCGGGATTCTCAGAGTTCTAATTTGCCCTGCACTTAGGCGAGGGCTCGATAAGTAGATAAAATCTAGAGAGTCAAATCCCAAATTCTTAATTTGCCCTGCACTTAGGCGGGATTTTGACCAGTAAGAAAATCTAGAGAACCGGATTCTCAAAGTTCTAATTTGCCCTGCACTTAGGCGAGAGTTCGGTCAATAAGTATAATATCTTTTAATATAATATCTTTTAAAGCTAATATCTTTTAAAGCTAAAAGCATTATAATAATTTCGATCTAATGAAATTTGTGGAAGTGTAGAAGTTTTGGTGTTTATTAAATAAATCTTGAAAAGTGAAATCTGTTTTAAATAAATTCATTTCATTCATATAAGAAGCCCTTAAGATAAACAGCCCAAATCCATCCACATCCATCCGCTGCAAATACCAACAGAGGTCCAATCAAGGAAAAGGCACTACGATCAGCCCCGGAATCACGGATCCGATCCTAAGAAATAGTTCAACAAGTAGTAAGTACATCTACTCTTTATTAAAATCCGTGCCAGTCTCAAACGAAGGCGTGGTAAGTTCGTACATCGAAAACGTCCCACAAAAATAATTAAACAACGGAATTAAAACCTCCGTTGCGTATTTTTTAAACTGTTTGTCCAAACCTCCACCGTTTACGCTATCGCTCTAAAAACGCCCTTGGACATAACAGTTTTTAGTATTGTTACAACGGCCAAGCGAAGAGGACGTGGGGTCAAATTGACCCCTGTGTGTACTAGTGAGTGTCTGTTGAAAAAATAATATATTTTTTGTTTCACGCATAAAGTGTGCAAGTAAGTGTAAATTACAATAAAAATTATGAGAAATTTTCGTTTTTATCGATTAAATACTATTTTTTCACAGAATGCCGTATAACCTCCGTAAAAACCGCGTTCTTAATTATTTGTTAAGAAAAGATTGTGAGGTCGATGATTTTGGATCTGACAGTGATGCAGATGAAGATGCGTGTGAGGTGATGAGTGAAGAAGAGGCTGAGAGTGATTCCTCTGATTCTAGTGATGCTGACGTGCAAATTTCTTTGACGCGGAAACGCGCACTAGAAGCATCTTTACGGAAATCAGGACGACTTGTTTCTATTCTGATAGGCAAAAATGGATATACTTGGTCTCTCAAATTCCCGAACCGAAGTTCAGGTAAAAAAATGTTCGTATTGTATAAATTCTATTGACCTGGATGCAACTATCTCAGCTATAAGCATGGATATCAGATAATAAAGACAGTTGTGTGCGCTTCAGGTTTTAATTAAAAAAAAATTCATCCTTAGAATTTACTGTTTATTATTCAACTGAAACATAACCTTTTTTTTAGATCGCAGTCAAGTCCGATCGCGTACGGGACTAACGCCTGGGCCAATAAATGAAGCTGCTAATTGTAATGAAATTCATGAATATTGGGAAATACTTTTCACAGAAAAAATCTGTCAACTCGTAGTGGACTATACATATTTAAAGATTCAACTAGTGCTTGACGAAATTTCAAAGACTGGAAATACTCTCCAAACTTATCATCACACCACAGACCTAGTTGAAATGAATGCTTTCATAGGATTGCTGTATCATGCAGAAATGTGGAAGGCAAATCATGTTGATCCAAAACAGTTGTGGTCACACGAAGAAGGCTACAATTTATTTCGTTGTACTATGCCATTGAATAGATTTTATTATTTATCTAAGTGTCTTCGTTTTGATGATAAATCCAAAAGGTCACAAGGTAACAAGTTTGCGTGCATTGAAGAAATATGGAATATATTTATTGAACGATGTCACAGTAATTATGAAGCGCATAAACTATGTACAGTTGACGAACAATTACTGGGATTTCGAGGCAAATGCCCTTTTCGTGTTTACATAAAAAGTAAACCGGACAAATATGGGATAAAAATTGTCACGTTAAATGATGCTGAGAATTCGTATCTAGTAAGTATTTTTTATGCCGCAATATATATGATACATTCTCTATCAATAAAAATAATTTTTTCTTAATTTTTAGATCAATGCTATTCCTTATAAAGGAAAAATTCAAGTAAAAGATGGATTAATTCCTGAATATTTACTCCGAAAAGTAACTGAGCCTATTCATGGAACGCATCACTCGGTTACATGTGACAGCTGGTTTACGACAATCCCTCTGATTGAAAAAATGCAAAAACAACCCTACGATTTAACGATTACTGGTACTATCCGTAGCAACAAGAAAGAGATTCCATTAGAAATGAAAATTGCTGGTGAAGAGCGAACCGCAAAATATTGTCATCATGATTCAATCACACTTGTTTCATGGACGCCAAAAAAAAAAAAGAAATGTATTAGTGGCTTCTTCTTACCTACAATCTACAGCAATTAACCCGGACAATGGAAAACTATGTACATATAATCGAGCATTATAATAAAACAAAAAGTGGAACAGACACCTTCGATCAACTGTGTAAATTACATACTGTCGCACGTGCCACTAAAAGATGGCCAGTACGATTTCTCTTTGGAATGCTTGATCAAGCAATTGTTAATAGTCGTATACTTCACATCTCTAAACTTGTCGCTGCTGAAGAGGAAGAGCAAAAAAAAAAAACTGCGCGAGAATGTTACCAGCAGGTAGCATTCATTTACCTGTATTCATTTAATCAAACCGTGGTTCCATAGACGACTAGATGGTGATGTTTCTCTAAGACAAGGCACCCGAAAAGGAATTGAAAAAATTTTAAATATCAATCAGCCTTCATCACAAAATGATTCTCGTCCCGTATCGGAGAAACACCAACGTTGTGCTTTATGTCCACGAAAAGATGACCACAAAACACAAGCTCTATGTCCATCATGTATGCGGGCTATGTGTGATAAACATCGTATATACATGTGTTATGATTGTGGTGGGGTTGAATAATTTGTTATTTTTCATATTTTAATAAATTTTACGAATTATAAGTTATGGTATTGATTATTTTTATGTGTACCTAAGAATTACTTTCGATTTTTCACTTTAAAAAATAGTCATTTTCACATAACTGAATAATTATACTTTTTGGAAAATTTACAAAAACATCTATATTTGCTTGAATCTCGGTATTTTCCTCTTCAAAAATCTCATATTGTTTTTTTCTAAATGTACATTTAACGTTTGATACGGGTAATTATTCGAATCAGTTCGTTTTCGAAAATAGGTTCGAATTTAATTAATTTTTTCACCATTAAAATCTATTTAATTCCGAATAATAATGATTGTATTCGAAAAAGCATTGTTTTACCTACAAAAATGTAATAACCTAAATTCCGATAAAATGCTTAGTTTCTAAAATATAGGTCTTTAAAAGTCAAGTGGGGTCAATTTGACCCCGTGTGTACTCTGAAGTTCTGATCAGAGGTGTGTACTCCGAGGGTTAATTAATCCAATAAAATTAATCCAATTAAATTTGGTATATCGATTAAAAAAATCTGGAAAACGGTTGACCCTGAAGGCCGTCCCTGCAACTTCCCGCCAATTCCATACCTAAACGCTTGAAATTGCACTTACGACGTTTCTCAAATCTTTGAGCTCAAAAAAACAATTTGTGTGTTATTTTGAGCTCTCCGAGCTCAAAGAAATAGCTTTTGTATGCTTTTGAGCTCTTCGAGCTCAAAAGTCTGATAGATTTTCTAGATGAGTGAATCGATTTTCATGCGGTTGGCAGAAATTCACGCAGTTTTTTAGAATCTATGATATACTTTTGAACACAAACTGATTGAACTGAAAATCTTAGAGAAATTCGAAAAATTCACTTTTTCCGAATTTTTTCGACAACGATAACTCACGAACCAATCAACAAATTTCTACGTTCTTAGTGGTGATCGACGTAATTTTTTGAGCTCTAATAATTATTTCATGTCTTCAAAAACGATCCGAAAAGAAATCTCGAAGTTATGTGAAAAAAACACTTTTTTGGAAATTTTTCGTTTTCGATAACTTTTGAACGAATCAACCGATTTTGATGGGACTGGTGGCAATCGACGTGGTTTTTCAAGCTCAAAAGCTGATTAGTTTTTGGAATTGATCGGTGAAGCCGTTTAAAAGCTTTTGCATTCAAAATTCGATATCTCGAAAACCAATAGTCGTATCCGGGTCCTGCAAAAAGCAAATTGAAGCTGAATAAGCAGGCTATGCGACCTATGCATTGGTCTAGCTCGAAAAATTTTTTTCATCCCCGTAGAGCGAAAAAAAAATGTAAAAAATTTGGAAAATTTTTTCTTCGTGCTTTAGCCAAGGATTGCATGGCTACCAGTTCTCCGAAAAATTTTTAACCCAAAAATCTAAAAACTAGAGTCTTCAAGCTTCAAAAGCTTTGTTTTTTTATTTCCTGTACGACCATTTTTCACTGAAATACAGCCTGTTGAAAATCACCAAAAAATTTCGAAAATTTTTTTGTTCGTTTAATTTTTGCGAGAAGTGTATCTTGTGAAAATCCGCGGTAATACCGAAACCCGCAGTAACACCCACACTTATTGTAGACGGCTTAGAATATCAGTGTTATGATTTTTTCTAACGAAATTTCTTCCAATTTTGTCTGCTGAATTGAACTTATTTGGTTATGAATATTGTCCTCTAAATATTTTGTAACGTATTCTTATTGACGTATTATTTTTTTTTATTTAAACTTGAAATTACATCAGTTATTTATGTTATGAATTTTATCAATTCGGTATTATTGATAATATTATACAGTGAAAATTTTTTTTCTCTTATATGAAGGTTAGAACTCTTAAATATTGTTTCACTGATATATTTTATATTATTTTTCTGATTGATTACAGAACGAATCTGATAAATATACCAATAAACTTAAAAATGGCATGTTTGCGTTTTTCCTGATATTGAAAGAAATCGACTATGAAGATGTTTTCTAAAAATAACGATAAATTGTATCAAAGCGAGTGTTTGTCACGTGACATGAGATTTTTATTTGCACTAAATAAAATTTTGCTATAAAATATTCAGTTCTACAAAAAAAAACTTACATGTGCAATTTTAATTCGCAATTTAAATCCAGAAGTGTTCAATTCATTGATTTATTGTCTTCGCTAAGGTGAATTTCTTGACGTGTTTAAGATCCGTTTTAATCGGCAAGTGATGTTATAAATTTTGCTTGGATTGTTTTTGCGACTTGATTATTCCATTTTCACTGTATATAATAACAAAAAGATAGGAAATTTGCTTTCAAAAATTTATTTACGTTAGCGTGTGTCACAATACTATACTTTAAGAGATAATAGCTATCTGCTATATCGATTCCGGGAAGGATTTCGGACTGTACTAGCAATTGCAGGTATTGTGTTTACGCTAACGCTATAATATCTACATATTTATAAGAAATTTACCGATAAAAAGATTAATATCAATATAAAAATATTTTAACCAAAGAAATATTACTTATTAGTAAGCCGATTATCAATAAATATAAATAATCGTGATATATTATCAATAAATGACTAGAAATTGATTATAAAACTTTCCCGGAACATTCTACCTTATGACGTCATCGATTTGCAGATGAATGTAACCTGATGAAGTAAATTTTGTCTATGATTATTTAAATGTCGCTTATGAAAATTATATTGTATGTTGAGAAAAAAAAAAAATAAGTAGAACGGTTGATCCCACAGGTGATGCCTGCAACTTCCCGCCAATTTCAACCGCGAAGCGCAACAATTGAAAAATCGAAAAAAACACTACATTTTTTCAGTCGATTTCATAGAAATCTAACTATTGCATTGGTCCTCATAAAAGAACTTTTGAAAAATTTTGTTATATTTCGACTCAGCTCGTCAAGCGGATTCAGAAAATGCATATGCTTCAAAAGTTTATATATGTATGTATATATGTAGAGAAAAAAAATATCCAGTTGTTGATGATGTGGCAGAACGAGGTGTCGCATTATAGTAAATGAATATAACCAATGCTTCCAACAAACGGAAACGGATAGAAACGGATTCAACTTTCTATCCGTTTCAATCCGAATAAATCCTTTTTTTGAAGGCGCTGTTTTCCAATTCGTTTCAATTCGTTTCCATGCGATTCAATCTGACAAGTAGATAAGATCGAAAAATTTAGTATCATAGCACAATTGCTAAAAAATTCTTCGTTACCGACGGTAATAATTTTTCAAATATTCAAATACGAATTTTCCGTATGCATGAATTTTAAAATATTTATTTTGTTTTTGTTAGTCCTGGATTATATAAATGAAAAATAACTACTCTAAAAAAGATAATTTTATATAAATTTTGTTTGTTCAATGAAAATAATAAATCGGACTTGAGAAAAACTTTTATTGTTATTATTATTTACTTAAAAGAATGTTAATTGATTATATAAGTACCTAATTTTTAGCAAAACTTGAATTTAATAAGCTTTTTATTTATCAACGAAGTAAAAATGGTTTTCTTCTAATTTTAATTTTAAACTTCCCGCTAAAAATCTCAGATTTTCAAAAATCGGGAAGTTATTGTTTTCACCCCGTTTTACAAAAATCGAGTTTTCATCAGATCTCGACGTTTTAAGGTCATAGGAAGCTTCCCTGACTACCCCCGCGGTAGTGTCTGTATGCCTGTATGTGTGTGTGTGTGTGTGTGTGTGTGTGTGTGTCTGTGTGTGTGTGTGTTTTTTTTTCCCTTTAGGGGGGGGGGAATCCTTTTTACGGATTCTAGGCATAGATGTTGGTCCGGATATGTGGCGACTCGACGCAGCGTCATACTAAAACTTGACGCTGACGCCCCTACCCACTAAACCCTAAACCCTTTTCTCTTCTATTCTCTGATCCCCCATGGTACCGCCGTAAGGCATTTCTTCGCGGGGGGAAGAATTAGCTGCCGCTCTTCCTTCAGGTGGCTAAGATGTTATCTTCTTTTTAAATTCTGTCTTTTGCTCTTTTTCTCTTGATGGAACGCAGCTCTGTAAGCACTTCTGTGGCAAAAGTGTTCGTTGCATTCCAGGCAGCTTCTGAAGACAGCATTGCTTCTACGATTGACTCTGGTTGAATTGTCTTCTTCAGGATCTTCTCCAGCTCCTCACGTTGTTGATTGAAACGCGAGCACTCGAAAAAAACGTGCTCTGCATCTTCAGTGGCTCCAGGGCAGGACGGGCACTCCGGAGAGTCGTCATGCCTAAAGCGGTGAAGATAAGCCCGAAAACAGCCATGTCCTGACAACATCTGTGTTAGGTAGTAGTTGACCTCACCGTGATTCCGGTTCAGACAAATGTCGATCTTTGGTATGAGACGATGCATCCATCTACCCTTCTCTGCGGCATCCCACTGAGATTGCCATCGTGCGATGCTGTGCTGTCTTTGTTTCGTTCTGAGTTCTTTTGCGCTCAGTGTTGTTGACCTCTTTCGTTGGTAAAGGTTCCGTCTTTCTTCAGCTAGGACTCTGAGAGGTAGAGTTCCAGAAATGACGCACACTGCTTCCTCAGATATTGTGCGGAAGGCGCAAGCTACTCTTAGGGCACTCAGACGATATACTGGTCCAGCCTTTCTCCATGATTCTTGCTTTTCTAGTGCGTCCGCCCAGATAGATATTCCGTAAGTGAGCACTGATGTGACTACAGATGATAGTAGTAGTCTTCTGCTCTGCTTTGGGCCTTCGACGTTCGGCATCAGCCGTGCTAAGCTAGCTACCACTGCTGATGCTTTTGCACTCACGTGTTCGACTTGCTGCTTAAAGTTGAGTCGGGCATCAAGCATCACTCCCAGATATCGGATATATGGTTGTGATGTGATTTCTTGTTCTCCGACTTTCAGTTTTATGGTCTCTATCACTTTTCTGCTGGTAATAAGCACAGCCTCAGTCTTCTGTTCAGCCAGTTGTAAATTCATTGAATCCATCCACCGGTTAACTTTCTCAAAGGTGATACTG